AATAGTCTAAATTACTCCATTTTTAATGATTAAGTTACAAGTGCCTTCCAATCGCTGCGGACGCTCTGTTCGAAAGCCATGAGAATAAAGGTAAAGACAGACTGGCACAGACTCCCTATGTGGCTTTTTTGGTCGCGTTGCATGATCACCTTCAACTACATGCTTGTACTCACAAGCGTTTCTTTAAGGGACTTTCCTTTTTTCTTGTAAGGAATGATCGGAGCTTTGTTTTCGGCAAAAGCAGATAATGTATCACACTCCAATGCTCCATCAATATTTGCTTTTTTTTTTATTTATATTTGACTGTCTATGGTACGTTGTAACAAAAGGAAATAAGTAGACGTTCTTTTTTTCGATCAATCGCAAAGACATTTCCAAACTTTACATCTCGGCGTTTACGTCGAATTGTTTCCATCCCTTTTGAGTGAAACACTCTTTTGATACTCTTTTCAATGACGCGACAGCATAAATAACAATAAACGAACAAATCGGACATAACCTTTTCGATCTTTTGAAATGGAACGCAAAAGCTTTGCACAAGAGAACATACAAAATAGACGCGAACAAATTTTAATTTTAAATTTTTTTAATTTTCTAATTTTTTCTTGCGAGACATATCACGCATTGCTAAAAGTTAAACTTTTTAGCTTTGCGTGATATGTTTCGTAAGAATATGACCAATCACATGGCGCGTAAGAAACTAGCCACTCAGAAATGGATAAACAGACCCGTGTATCCATGCAGGATATCAAAACAATCCCTAGGGAGCCGTCATGCAGACGGACCATACTACGCAGGCTAGAAGAACGCAAAACATTTTCGGTTCAAGGTTATCGGAGATAAAATAGTGTTGTGGTTTGCTTTCCACGACTGCATGACTTCTCAAGGTAGTAAGATGAACAGAAAACCTTGACAAAGAGAGCTCAGGTAGGTTATCGCTTTCGTTAATTTTTACAGCGACATTTTTTATGTTCAGTGTGGTGTAACTGAGAGAATATTTGCATTTTGAAAGTAATTAAGTTTGATCACGAAAATCGTAGTGTTGGAGGCAGAGTTGTGGTAGCCTTAAATTTCTAATATCTATACATAAACAACTTCTTTATGTAACAATTTAATAAAGTAAATTCTCAAAAGCAATCTTTTGTTTTCGTGATTGTCTTCTTTCAACAAGGACTGTAGAGTGAAATATGGGACTCTATGCGGAAATACTGAAGCCATCGCAAACAAGCAAGTTGTGACACATCTTTCACGCATGAAATGCTTTCTTTGTCTTTATCATTCACTAAATCATACACTGAGACGTCCTGAGAAATTCAAGTCAAAACTTGTTTTTGTAGATAAACGATGTATTTGCCACTGAATTGAGACTTGAAATATGCTTTTTTTTTTAATCTTCTAAGTGTTTTTCCTTCCACGTATCAAAAAGGGCATTTGGTGGTTAAATTTATATGCATCACAGGTGACCATAAAGATAGGCAACCAGGGGATGCATGAGTGGGCTGAATATAATGAAAATATAATAGAAATGTTTATAAGATGGAGTGAAAACATAACACCATAATTACGTAAACGAAGATCTGTTGTACTTTTTGTTTTGTCGGGAAAACATATGAAGGGAACATTAAACCGATAACGATTCAAAGAACAATGAGGTTTCACTGACAGTAAATACTTACATGCGCAGATGCTAAAATAAATAAAAATAATCCTTACGCTGAAAACATGAAAGCATTGCCCGAATGCTCTGCTTGGTTACTTGTTCAAAAGTAATACAAAACCGCATTGGTAAACCACTGACTGCCATGTTTAATATCCGTTCCTTGGCTTTTTAAAGTCCTTCATGAATTGCATCCTGTTTTTAAACGCGTTCGGAATTTCCGCCATTCAATTACGAGTTTACTTGTCACTTTTGATTATTCTCGGACGAGTGCCCATTTTCCAGTAAACAACCGAAATTTTACGGCATAATCCTACTCCACCGAAAAATTTCACATGGAAGTAAACGCTACTGTTAATCAATTTTGCACGCACCTCTCACGTGCTTAGACATTTTTTTACCAATGAAATTCGCTTTAAGCTACCTTGGACTTCACCCCATCACGTGTCAAATTCTTGTAAACGAACTGCACTTTATCACGTAATCCAAACGTACGGTGAATAGTACCATATAAACAGCCCACCCGAAAGCCTTGAAGTACGCACTTTTCTCCACGTTCAATATATTTTATCTTGTTCGAAGAACGGAGACTGCAAAATTTCTTCCGCTAGAGGCTAATGGTGATAAAACAGCGTTTCGGTTTGCCTTCCACAGCAAAGTTATGAGGAAAAATATTTTTGAGACGACCAGCTGTAACTGAATAATTCTGATTCTATCGCTAAAGAAGGAACGGCAGTAAGCATAGTCAGGGTCTTTGTTTGGTCAGTCACGCAACGATGGAAGAGAGCACGTTGCGTGACGATACTAAAGAACGGCTATGAAAGACACCTCAGGAAGCGTGGCACCAATGCAGTTTATTTTTGCTAACAATTATTCAGACACCAGTGGCAATACCTTAAAATAACTCTCGCTTTTGTGGCATGCCTATGGTTTGAAGCCTATTCATTCACCACTCTAAAAACTGTTAGAGGAAGGATTCTTTGCCCTTCTAAGTTCTTTACAAAGCTGTCCCAGTTTCGTCAAAGTGGGGTTACAACCGAAGCTTAACCTCATGCTGGGTACAAAACAGATAGAACTGAAGTGATTTTCACAGCGAACTTTATCTCTTGTTTACGTGCACTTCTGAGCAGAAAAAAGCAAAGTATGTCTCTAGTATGGATGTTTCGGTTTCAAGAGGAAACTATCTCCCAAACTCCATTACCACTTACACTATCTCTAAATTTTCGAACCTCACATGACGAGCTTTGCCCACCTAAAAAATTTATGCAAATTAGGCTAAGCCGGATCTGAGTTCCGCCTGGCAATTATTAACTGTAAGAGAAGATCTGAGTTCGCGTCCACAGCACGTTCAAGGTGTTGCGGATGAAGTTTCTGTAATTACTTTTTGGCACTTTTCGGCGTCAAAATTGCATAGTTTGGGTAACCCAAAACCCTTAGGCTGACCTTTCTTGTCATAACATGAATGTTTTCCAGAAAGGGACACGCGGTAATGTCGGTGGCACTCGTGTGCAGGCATTTTTCCAGGTAAAAACCCTCGCGTGGAATCAACTCATGTTTACTTTAACGCTCCTTTTAGGCGCACAATGTAAGCCAAAGCATTTTACAGTTAAACGTAGAGATCAAAATATTTTCTTCTAGGGATGATAAATGACCGACGCTGAACTAAATTATACGTTGAAGAAAATGCAAAACAGCATAACATGCAAATGAGCAAATTTGGAAAAATACGAAGTTACGGAAACCATGAAAATCTTCGATTTTTAAGAAAGGAAATTTTTATAATTCCAAGCCAAGTAAGCTTTTCCAGTATTTCTTTCTTTAAGGTTTTGTGTGGAGCGGGGCCTTTGTTTTATAAACCGTAAAACTTAGTGACAAGTCGAAAGGGTTTGCTCTTGGTTATGATACCAAAGAGTAGAGGGACACCACGGTGATCTTCCAGGTGTTTGATCATCGTCGCCGCTCGTAGCATACTTCGCTACTTAGGTGAGCGAAATCGAAGTTCTTCTGTGTGAAAGATCTCCTTACAAAGAAAAGCGGTCGATTGTGCTTTTTCAGTAGCGGCTTTAACGCTCGTCCATATTCAGCGCTTATCCTAAACATGGCATCTCTAGCTATCTACAAGACACGCTGCGATGTATTATTCGTCCATGTTCAACACAACAACTGCGCTAGTGAGATAGAGAATCGAAAGATCACATTGTTGCGCTCGAGGCAGAGTGCGCTAAGTTTGCCAAGTTCTACAATGGACAACAGATCGTACGGCCTCCCGCAAGAATAAGGACAAGGTCTATCAGTTACAAGCAATGGATAAGTGGAATTGTAAAAAGTTTTAATTCGTCCGTGCATCGAAAGGCCGATGGTATGTAATTTTGCTCTTTTCCGTTCTTCACACACTCGAATAGCTGTTAAAATTAAATTTAATTGCGGGTTGTGCAGTCAAAATGTAACGTCGCCCAANTCCCCAATTATTTGAGCTTAAGTTTAGAGCGTGTCCAAAAGAGAGCCTTGAAAATTATATACGGTTATGATAATCATCATAGAGAAGTGCTTCAGATGGCAGGGGTGAAAACCCTAAGGGATCGGAGAGAAGACCTTTGCTTAAAATTCTTTAACAACATCGTCTCCAATCCTTTGGATTGTTTATTCCACTTACTGCCTTTCGATAACCGAGATCAACTTTGGAATTACGACGACGTAGACCATTTAGAGTTTCCTTTAAAACAAATCGGTTCAGCGATACTTTCATTCCAGCAAGCGCAAGACATTTTAACTAACATTTATTATAAGTGTATATGTAAATTAGTTCCCTTTAGGTTTGATTTTATTGTATAGTTCTATTACATAATTTGTACACCTTTGCAATTCAGCTTGCAGCTGCTATTAAGATATTTTTAATAAACGTCTATCTATCTAAATAAGTGAGCTTGCTCTTGAGGTCTTGTCTCAGATCTTCTGTTGTAAGTGTTTACATCTGGAAGCCGTTTTGATTTTGACTTAATTGAGTGGTAACTCCAAAATTGTTTCGGGTTTATCTTAAATTGACTCGACAGATGCTGCAGATATCGTTCGTATTCAGTTCTTAGTAACTGTTTGACAGATCTTCTTAACTCCTTAAACTTTCGGCTAAGGGCATGTGATGGACGAACCTTTAGTTTTCTAAAGGCTGTAAAATGCTAGTAGGGCCTTCAATTTCTATATTCCCTCCTTTATATCTTGTTGGTGACGACTGACTCCCCCTCCGTTCCCCCCCGAAAACGATCTCATCCCCCAGAATCCTCCGTTCCCTGGCCCTCCCCCAGGCGATAAAAATGATTGGTCCTTAAAGTTTCCTTTCATCTCACAGAAAAGGATTGAGGAGCATCGCAACTCTACTGCCTCTGTTGGGTGTCACGTGGCTGCTGGGTTTTTTTATCCAATGGAGTGAATTCCTGGCGTATTTATTCATCATTCTCAACTCGACCCAGGTACTCAGCGGTTCTTTGCGCTCTACAGTTGCTTCTATTGATCATGTTTTCCTCACCCTTGTCTCTTTTGATTCTTATAGGGTTTGGTGTTTTGCATCTTTCATACCTTTTTGGACGACCAGGTATTTTCAACTTTTAACATGTATTTAATGCCGAATATCGTATCATGTTCGTTGTAGCGACCCTCTGACTCAATAGCTTGCATGCCGAACTCATCGCTCTCAGAATTGTAAACAAAATTTACCTCATTTACAACACAACTGCTTAATTCCGTGTTTGTTCGACATAGTTTTTTATTTGTCTGACAATAGGTGAAGGAGAGTTTCCTTAGATCCATTAGAAGAACGCGCACGCGATTAGGAAAGAGGAAGTACAACTGCCGGCCATCCACCGTATCAACAGGGAATACGTTGTCACCTGCAGGTGTTAAGTCGTTTGGTACCATACGCATTTAGTTCCTTGAATGTGCTTCCCCGGTAGAATATCACATCTAGCGGTGAAGGGCTAAAATAAGTCTTCAATGGGCAGCATTTTCGTTCAGCCTTTCTTTTCCTTCATTTTTTTTTCAGATTTTTTTCTGACCATCCTTTCTTCTTCCATTCCTTTTCCCTCATTCCCCCTCCTCTCCTCCCTCCTTCCCCCTCCCTCCTTCTCCCCCCTCCCCCCACTCAAAAAAAGATAATAATGATTGATGAACCCTTTTACTCTCGAGATTTGAAATCTAAATCTACTTCTGGGTGACAAAGCATTTCTTTGTAGATGATAACTGAAAATTTTGCGTTATAATCAAACAGTATCTCCTAGTTTGGTGTATCGTGATAGCACTCTTTAGTAGGATAGACTCATTATAGACTCTTTTGTTTTGGACAACTGCTTTCCTATGTATTGTCGGAAGTAGATTACTGGCGCAATGCGCAAATGAACTACGCCAAGAACATTTTCGATCATTTTGTGCATAGACAAGTGTGGGTTTGGCTCCTAAGCTTAATTGTGAATTTACTATGCTTAAGAGAGAGTTGTTAAATGTAAAATTTTTAGTTGCCTCNTGAAAACCACGTGATCCCCCCAAAATCCTCACGCCTTCCAGGGGTTAAAAAATGACTTGTCCATTACTTCACTAAATAAAGTAATTATTTTTAGACTTGTAATCTTTACTCTTTTACTATTACTAAATTGAAATAAATTTCCATAAACAAGTGTTCCCCATACAATTGTACGTGGAATTTCAGCTTGGATGCCGGTGGGGCCAAATTGGGGATTTCAGATATTTTAGCAACCTTTCTTCAACTTTCAGGTTCGATAAATGGCGGAGCAAGCAGCATGAGGCAACACCCAGCGATTGCTGGAATGAGGCATTTTGATGCTAAACTTTAATGGTGTCTCTCGATAAAAAGCTTCTATTCTAGCTTCATAAAATCTAATTCAGCTTTTTAACTTCATTTGTTAGTCTAGATATAAATAAGGCTACTGGCTCTAGTAAACATAGACGATTTTTTTTAACACCTTACTACTGCTGTATAAGGAGATCAGTGGGACAGTTGTGGGAAGAATGCACCTTTGCAAACATACTGTTAACTTAGTCGGTGTTTCTTAAAGAATAAAAAATGAAATCTTCCACTCGGAAGTAAAAATCTTAATGGTAATAGCTTAATGTTCTAGAGAGATCAGCGAGAATTATTTTAAATAGAAGAACCTTATGGCTACTTGCTTGGATCCCTCCATTGTACCTAGAGTGTTAAGTATTAAAGATAAATTTTTGCCTTCAACTGTTTACTCAAAAAATCCTGAAATCGACTTCGCACTACACCAATAAGGGAGGTTCAGATTAAAATGAATGAACAATGTCCAGGCTTAGGATGGACACCCGAAAAATGCAGCATTTTCAGCCGGCCTGTTTTCCAGTTTCCATCCCTTGGACAGAAACCCTCTTTCGATATTCTTTTCAATGACGTTAAAACATAAATAACAATGTAAAAATAAATCGGACATAACCTTTTCGATCTTTTGAAATGGAACGCAAAAGCTTTACACAATAGAACATACAAAATAGACGCCAACAAATTTTAATTTTTAATTTTTAATTTTCTCATGCGAGACATGTCACGCAATGCTAAAAGTGAAACTTTTTAGCATTGCGTGATATGTTTCGCAAAAATTTGACCAATCACATGGCGCGTAAGAAACTAGCCAATCAGAAATGGAAAAACAGACCCGAGTATCCATGCAGGATATCAAAACAACCCCTAGGGAGCCGTCGCGCAGAGGACCACACAACGCAGGCTAAAAGAACGCAATATATATTCGGTTCAAGGTTATTGGAGATGAAATAGAGTTCTGGTTTGCTTTCCAAGAAGCAGTAGGGTGAACAGAAAACTTTGACAAAGAGAGCTCAGGTATGTTATTGCTTTCGTTAATATTAACATCCACATTTTATGTTGTGGCGTGACGGAGAGTATATTGCATTTTGAAAGTAATTAAGTTTGATCGCGAGTTGTGGCAGCCTTAAACGTCTGATATCTACGCATAAACAATATAGTAATTTAATAAAATAAATGCTTTAAGGCATTTTTTTGTTTTCGTGAGTGTTTTCTTTAAACAAGAACTGTTTGCGGAGTGAAGTATGGGGCTCTATGCGGAAATACTGTGGCCACCGCAAACAAGCAAGTTGTGACACATCTTTCACGCATGAAATGCTTTCTTTGTCATTAAAATTATTCGCTAAATCATACACTGACACGTCGTTCTATTTCTGAGAAACTCAAGTAGAAACTTGCTTTCGTAGCTAAACAATGTATTTGCCACCGAATTGAGACTTGAATAGTGCTTTTTTTTATTTGAATCGTCTAAGTTCTTTTCTTCAACATATCAAAAAGAGCTTTTGATGGTTAAATTTACATGCGCCACTGGCGACTGTAAAAATAGACAA